AGAGGTTCGAGATTACTCTGATGTCGCGGCTATCGATGTTTTTTCATTTTTAAAATATTAATTAGTTTATTGTGCTGTACCTTGTCAAATGCTTTTTCAAAATCAATAAAACATGTATACATGTCTTGGTTCATATCCAGATTTCTTTGCATGAGCACATTTATACCGAAAAATGCTTCCCTGGTTCCCGTGCCGTTTCTAAAGCCTAACTGACTATCACTAATTTCATCATCCAGCTTTCTGTAAATTCTGTTGTGGACTATTCGTAGAAATACTTTCAAAACATGGCTCATTAATGCAATTGTACGGTGTTCTGAGCATTCTTTTGCATTTTGCTTTTTGGGAATAATTACGAATGTGGATACTAACCACTCCTTTGGTAAAATACCTGTTTGATAAATATGATCATAAAGTTCTACTAGAATGTCTATCATTTCATCATCGATCAGTTTAAGAAACTCAATCGGGATTTCATCCGGACCTGTGGCCTTTTTCCCTTTTGTCTGTTTTAATGCGTATTGAACTTCCTGTTTTAAAATTTTTGGTCCCGATTCACCAGAGTCCTCATCTATGATTTGTTGTCTGTCATCCCCGAATAGTTCTTTTATGTATTCTGTCCATCTGTTTAGTTGTTGTTTTGTATCTGTGAGAATGTTACCATTCGAGTCTTTTATAACATGTATATTATTTTGTTTTCCCGACGTCATTTCCTTCACTTTCCGATGAATATTGAAACTATCATATTTCTTTTCATATTCTTCTATTTCGTGACACTGTTCAGTTAGCCATCTTTCTTTTGCTGTTATTATGTCTTTTCTAATCCTGCTGTTTAAGGATTTGTATTTGCTAGTGTTTATGTTTTTATATATTTTCTTCTTTCATTCATGAGAGTTAGTATTTCGTCTGTCATCCACATATGTCTTTTCTTTGGTATTGGTCCACGTATTTCTTCACCCGCTTCTTTTAAAGCTTGTTGAACCTCTCTCCAATTTTCATTTACGTCTTTAGAGTTGTGTTTTTTGACTTGATGGGTTTAAGATTATCATTGATTTTCTGTCTAACTCTTTGTTCTATCTGAGTATCTTTTAATCTTGTCACATCGAATTCTTTTCTAATCTTTTTGTTTTTTAACTTTTTTAATTTTGCTTCCATTTCGACAATAATAGGGACGTGATCCGAGTATATATCGGCACCTGGATAAGTTTTTGCTGATTTTATTGAATTTTTAAACCTATTTCTGATCAAGACAAAGTCTATTTGGTTTCTGACGATGTGTGATTCTCGGTCTGCTGGTGATTTCCACGTGTATAGTCTACGTTTAGGTAGATCAAATAAGGTATTTACTATAACCAGATCTTCATTTTGGCAAAATTCTAAGAGTCTATCTCCACGTTCATTTCTAACGCCCAATCCAAACTCACCAATCCATGGTGCCACTGCTCCTTTACCAATTTTGGCGTTAAAATCCCCTAGGATGATTGTTATCTCACATTTTTTTGTCAATTTTAGAGCGGCATTGAGTTGATTATAGAATATTTCAATTTCCTCCTCATCTTTGTCGGCTGTTGGAGCATACACCTGTACTATGTTTATTGGAACAGTCTTTGAATTAAGTTTCAGAATCGCGACTTTGTCTGATATTGGAGTAAAGCTTATTACTGTTCTATTAATTTTGTAATCAACGAGAATTCCTACGCCATACAAATGTGATGGGTCATCGTTTCCTGAGTAGTATAGCATTCCGTTGTTTGTTATACATTTACCTGTTCCTTACCATCTCACATCGCTAATTCCTAATACATTTACATTCAAACGTTCCATTTCTAAGATGGCATTGTCTAGTTTTCCAGCCATAAACAGACTTCTAACATTCCATGTCCCAACTCTAATACCTAGTCTAGTTTTGTTCGACTTGTTCATGTTTTTACAGGGATTTTGCATGTTGACGACCGGAGAGGCCCCATAGTCTTGCGATTGCCCTCTCCTGCCGGATCTTGGTATCCGTATTCCATGATCAGTAACATTTTTGAGTAGGTCTTTACTAGCCATGTTGACTTACTAAGGATGTTCTTTTGAACCTTTAATGCAGTGGTTTCCCCTTGCCTTCTGCATCCTTATGCCGTTGACCGTATACTTGGCTCATCCGCCTTTAGGGTCGATTTCTCAGCCCAAGGACAAAAGAGTGCCCTACCACTTACCAACTCATCCGTCCGAAGCCGTTGGTCAGTAAGTCAGAAGTAAGTTGGAAGGTCTCCATTGCCAAAAGCAATTATTGCATAACACGAAGAGAATAACATGCTGTGGTGAAAACATTGAATCATTTTCATAAATTTTTATATGGACGGATGGATATTATATTTTATATGTAAGTTCGTTGTTCGTATGGATCATGCCTCTATTCAATGAATCCTTCAATTCTAAAACCCTGAAGGATAGGTTGTTCAATGGAAAAAAACGAAAAAAAAGACCTTTTGCTTAGACGCTTAGACCTTTTGCTAATGTTAATTAAAGTAGATGTCAATTACAAAGATGAGTACAAACAAACAAAACTACAGTATAATAAAATGCTTGTGGATTCACGAAAAATACAGTATGGACAAAAAATATACAATAGTCAAAATAAGTCAAAAAGTCTATGGAAAATCGTTAAAGAAATCATACAGGTAAATTCTATCGATAATAATGTAGCAATAGTAGGACATCCAGTCATGGTAACTAATAATTTTAATGAATATTTTTAAATGCTGCTACACATATTATAGAAAATATACCAAAAATAGAATTCAGCGCCAAAATACAGTTTACCAAAAACTTATTTTTTCTAACGCCAGTAACTGTAAATGAAGTAATTGAATTAATTAGAAAATTTAAAAATAAATTCAGTTCAGATTAAAATGGGATACCTACAAATATAATAAAACTGTGTACATATGAGCTAACCATAGTGTCATAGTAAGACCAGTGTTAAAAGAGGTGATGCCACTTTACTAGAAAATTATCGTCCAATAAGTCTCTTATCATTCTTTAAGGTTTTTAAAACAGTGTGTCAGGCTTCTCAGTTTTTTCTATAGTGAGGGCATGTTATGTCATGCACAACATGGGTACCCTAAGGGAAAATCTATAGAGACTGCCATTTATGATTTTATAACAAAAATAAATGAGGGTTATAAAAACAAAGATATATCCATGGGTATATTTTTATAATTATCAAAGGCATTTGATACTTTAAATCACAAAATACTAATGAAAAAGCTTTACAGATATGGCATTAGAGGGCCAGGTTATAATTGGATAAAATCTGATACAATATTTTGTCGGAGCCTAGCAATGTCCTCAGGTTCGCTGAGGACATCGCTGGACCCTCGTACAGTATCTGGTAACCGGTACACATGGATTATTGCAGTAAATGGCCGGAGGCATATGCTCTTCCTGATCAAGAGGCTTCGATAGTCGCTGAAGTACTGGATAATAATTTGTATTATCGTTTTGTAGTTCCAAGAGAAATAGACTCTGACCAATGTCCACATTTTACATCAAATCTGTTCAAGAAAATATGTCTGATGATGAGAGTTGTAAAGACCAGAACCACACTTTTGTGACCTTAGTTGGAGAGAATGGTGGAGAGATTTAAACAAACTTTACTTTATCATCATAGAATTGTTGTCAATAAACATCAAAATAACTGGGACAACTATATCCAGCTGTTCCTTCTTGCATATCGAAGTTCCATCCATAAGTTGACAAGCGAAATACCTGCCAAAGGTTTTATTTCATAAAGAGTTGCGGCTACCTGCTGACCTATTATTTGGGACTCCTCAACTCAGAAAAATATATCAATAGCTATACCCAATACAAAATCTGAAAGAATTAATGATGTTTATGTGAACGTTCGAAAACATTTGAGAATGGAGAGCGATAGGGTAAAAGCTCGACATGACAAACGAGCTAACTCTACCGCGTTCAAAGAAGGGGATTTGGTGTGGATATATAGTTTATTACGTTATAAGGGACGATGTCAAAAGTTACAGAAGTCATGAGAGGGTCCGCATTCCATGGTAGTTCTAATTAATTATATTATCATAATATATATTATATATTAATCAATGTACCGAAAACAAAAATAAAAATACATCATCGGTTGGCCAAGTATCGAGAAGATATTGAACTAGCAGAATCGTCAATCTAAAGGAGAAGGCAATGTTAAGACTGATAATTTATTGAGTGGCAACGTTGGTATTTCAAATCACCCTTCAAGCAGAAGTGTCATAGGATAACATTTATATAGAATGTACACGAGGACAGTTAAGGGTCGTGGTGTTTGTCAACTTAATTAATTTTTTAATTGTCACCAAATTGTAAATTTTCACCTTCATCCAAATAAATATTTTTTATTTTATTATTTATTGGGATTCATACATTTCGCCTTTGACTCCTTTTATTCAAGTAGGTTTGTAAATGTACTGTATTTATGTGAGTATGTTTATTTACATGCTTAAATTCGTCTGGGATATCAAAAATATGGCCATTCGGAGTCTCAATTCAGGTAATACGGATTTCATTTGAACGGCCGTCTGATGATCCTTGCATAATGAATTAGAATCTTTATTTTTCGATGACCAAAAATGCCGTTTTATAAGGTTTATTTTGATAATTAGTAACATAACTGAGTTTCTGAAAGTAAAGATATATGCCAACTATTTAGATTATTTACACAAATTTTACCTGAAATTAAAGAAACGTCATTTTATGCCACAATATCATAATGTTGAACATTTCTAATCACAAATAAAATCTTACAGGTTTTTAGATATAAGGATTTAGGTATAGATATAGATATCGATGGAATATAAATATTAGCCACAGATACAGAAGTTTTTGTGGCTAAAGTGTTAGCTAATGTGCTCGATAGAGCGCGGCGATATTTGAATGATAAAATGATAATTTCATTACATATATAATAATTCTATTACCAAAGTTAAAAAAAAAACATTTATTTTTAGGAAATATCGTAACACTTATAACCAAAGATGTGTCCCTCTTTGAGGGTGCCGTTGGGACATTTAATGAAATTTGGGTTGGTACAATCCAAACGTTTTATGTCTGCTATTTAATATATAGCAGAATTGGATATACTTCAGCAGTTGGTGTATTAATTTTATCTTCTGCAGTACCCATTCAGTGTAAGTAGCTAATGAAACTAATTGGTAAGTTTTACTTTTACTACCAATTTTTTTTAGTTTATGTGGCTACACTAATAAAAAAGCTCCGAGCGAAGATGAATAAAAGGACTGATACTAGATTACAAGAAACACAAGAAGCACTCTCTACTATTAAAATTATTAAAATGTACACATGGCAAAAGATATTTGCTGACCGTATTGGTGAAACTAGGAGGTAAATAAATTCAAAGAAATTTTTATTTTATATTGGAAATTCTTTATATAGATGAATAAGAATATCATAAAATTTTGTCAGAATAGGGTAGTGGCTGCTCAAAATAAGAAACAAATTCTTGGGATTATGTCAAATGTATTTTAACAGTATATTATATATATATATATATATATATATATATATATATATATATATATATATATATATATTTATGCATATTTATATTTTTACGGTAGTATAAAGTTTGCCACTCTTACCTCCGGGCTTCCCCCTCAAACCCTTCCTCGTAGGGGGAACGAAAAACGGCCAAAAATCAATTAATCAAAAAGCTGTACGTCATAGAAAAAACGTTTCAAATAAGAAATAAAGCTGAGATAATTATAAACAAAAATATTTATTAGCTCTTTTTTTGTAGAATGATCCGTTCTCTCGGAAACAACGCTAAGAGACCGGCGATTTTGAATGTCAGTTACAAATATGATATAATTTTATTAACCATTGGCAGGGCAGTAATTTTCTGCGTAAACTCACTCTTTAGGTAAATCGTTAACGGGATATGCTATATGCGTGATCGTTTTAAAATTCTCTTATCGATTGATTCTCAATTATCTCAGACTAACTAATATATTATATGTATGTATATTTCGGGAAATTGAAATTTTATTGGTAAGTAATTTATTTATAAAAATTAATAATTATATGAATGAAAGTTATTAAAAAATTGTAGAATTCTGTATTACATATTTTATAATTCTAGATTACGCCAGGTCTCATAAAAGTACAAAGGAAGTGCTAATACAAGCACAATTAGAGGAAATTCTAAATATTATGACAGATATTAAAGACGAGACAGATGAGACGTCGGAAAGTGATAGTGATTTGGATGAGCAACAAATTGAGGAGAACCAAGATATGTGTGAGAGATACATGTTCAGAGCAAGATATGTCGAATAGGGAGGATGTATTTAATGAAAACATTGAAGATAGGTTCATTGGCAAGGATAAAACAAGTAATTTATATTAAACTTATTTAGTCACGTCTAAGACAAAGCAACAAAACTTAATAAGAGTATTACCGGGATTGAAAGGAACTGGACGTTAAATAAAACAGACATTGATGCGTTTTTTAATATTATTCATATATTGATACGATTAATGAAATCCTAATTTTTACCAATTTATGTATAAAAAACATGAAAATAAAACGCAATATTTGAAAGATAGTGATTGCAAGAATGTGGACAGAAGTGAGTTATTTGCCTTCTTTGGATTCCTCTATTTGATAGGCATACAGCACGGGAATCACACGAATATGATAGAACTTTGGAAACGAGATGGCGCCGGGATTAAAATTGTTCGAGCACTTATGACTTTAAACGTTTACTATTCATTGCACGTTCATTAAGATTTAATGATAAATACACAAGAGGTGATAAATGTAAAATAGACAATCTACACCAATAACAATAATCACCCATTAATATTAAACATTAGATCGTTTTTGATAAATTTATAAAAAATAATCAAAACTCATACAATTTGTCAGAGTACATAATTGATGAAATGCTCCATCCCTTCAGAGGTATTTTTTATATATTTCTTGAGGTGGGTGGGAATCTTCGTAAGATACCAGGTCTTATGTCTGATATATTGGATTCCCTCACTGCCGCTGAGATGGCTGTCAAGCCTACCACATGTGACACGCTCAACCGCAATCTCAGCCGGGGCGAGAACCTATCTACTAAAACCCCTCCGTCCTCCCATATCTTCAGTACTACATCCGCCTCAAGTTTCCTGAAATATCACTTCACCGCTAGACTTAACATTTTTTTGGTAGTACAACAATCTTTCTTCAGTCTACTTGGACTGGAGCGTCTCTCTATCAAATGCATGGGTTCTTGGCGACGTGTGTTCATCCTCACACATCCTCGCAATTATATCACTCACGGAATCAAAACGAACACCATTCCTTCTCTCCAATTCACGTAAAAACGATAGATTGCACTACCCCGTGCAAAGCCGTTCTCCTTTGAGGTTTGAGCCCGTCTATGTTGGGCATTATCCCTCCCAGTACAGCTGCTCCCTGCGTTTCCGTAGTCTCTTGAG